TTTTTTTTTTTTTTTTTTTTTTAGGATTGCGCTAAGCTCAGCCTAGTATTTGACGCCAGGTTAATCAAGCTGCTAACCCTTTTTTCGTTTAGATCCTCAGGCTCTATGAACATGCAGCCCCAGGATTTATACCTTTTACATGTGAGTACAAGACACCGATATAAAATGTGGGCGCTGTCCTCTCTCTCCTCACTACATAGACGGCAGTCGCTTTGTTCCGTAAGCCCAAGTTTGTTTAGATGGCTCCTCAGTGTGATGTGTCCCGTGAGAAGACCCAATCCCACCTTCAGCCTTAGTCTGTTCATGACCAGGAGCTCGTCGGCTCTCCCCGGCGATGGTTGCTCCATTAGCCGTTTAGCTGTCCGGCAGCCCCCCACTGCTCTCCAGGAGCCAACATGCTCCCGCTCAAGCCATCCTCTGATGATGTTGATTCCCGTTACAAAAGGTACTCCAACGATCTGAGTGGCTGGGTCCATTTGGGTCCCCAGCTTGGCCAACTCGTCGGCTATTTCGTTCCCGAGAAATCCCTGATGTCCTGGGATCCATACTAGAGTTATCTTGTTAGATTCCCCTAGTCTAGCTAATGCCTGCATGCAGTCCCAGACTACAGCCGATTCTGTAGTGGTCTTTGCAAGAGCATGTATGGCCGCTCTAATATCAGAGCATATGTAAAAGTGCTGGTTTGCACTATCGTTTACAGCAAGGGTTTCCACACACCTCAGGATGGCCATCACCTCGGCTTGAAAGACCGTGACCAGCCCGCCCAAAGGTATGCTTTCTCTATGGTTTCTTTTCGGCCCATAGATTCCTACCCCATACCGACCATTTGCACCCGATCCGTCTGTGAACCAAAGATCCACTTTTGAATCAGCTAGTAATTTAGACTTGTTCCAGTCGTCCCTAGTTGGTATTAGAACTTTAAATTTCTTCCCCAACTGATGTTTTCTTGGAATTCTAACCTGTTTTAACATGAAGGGATACTTCTGAGAAAGTCTCAGTCTAGTATGTCCTAGACCGGTATCTTTCCATTCCCCCTGACATCTAAGTCTATAAGCCGTTCTCCTGGCTTGGTATTTTATCAGCTGACCGAGAGGTGGGCAGCAGAGAGCTACTTCTAGCGCCTCCGTCGGGGTGGTTCTCATGGTCCCTGTCACAGCTCTCAGATAACTACCCTGTAGGCTTTTTAACAGGTTCCTAGCCCCCACCCTCTCCATTCTCGGCCACCATACTACCGCTGCATAGGTTAGTCTTGGCAGCAACACCGTCCTATGCAGCCAAAGGGCAGCCCTGGGTTGAAGCCCCCAGTTTCTACTCATTACTCTTCTACAAGCCCACATGGTGGTATAGAACTTTCTTCTTTTCTCCTCGAGGTTTGGCAGCCAGCTCAGTTTAGCATCCAGGATCACTCCAAGATACTTCACCGAGCTTGTGTATGTTATTTCCCTGCCCCAGAGATTTAGGGGCTCTATGTGTTTGGGTTTGTATTTCCTGGTGAAGACCACTGCTGAGGTCTTAGATGGGTTGACCGACAGTCCCTTCTTTCTGTACCAGGTTTGAACTATCCTCAAGGCTGCGTCTATCCTCTCCTTAAGGATCGATATGAAATTTCCTCTGGCAATGATGGCCACGTCATCCGCGTAGCTATATATCAGAAATCTTGCTTCTTTTAATTCAGCCAGAAAGTCATCGACCACTGGACACCACAGCAGGGGAGAGATTACGCCCCCCTGCGGGCAGCCCCCAGCCGGACTCCCCCCAACTGAATTTTCACCCAGGCTTACGGTTAGACTTTTGCCCGTTAGCATGCTTTGTGTCCAGTCCACGATCGCCTCCGGGATCTTATTTCTGTACATTGCTTCTTTGATAGACTTGTTAGAGGTGTTATCAAAAGCTCCCTTTATGTCTATAAAGGCTTCTATGGCGTACCTCTTGGCTTCCAGCTGTCCCTCCACTCCGCTCACAAGGTGATGTAGGGCAGTTTCGGTCGACCTGCCCTCCCTATAAGCGTATTAAGTTGTGGTCTGTGGGCAAGAGACCAAAGGTTCTGTCTTCAAATATCTGTTTACCAGCCTCTCCACTGTTTTCAAAATGAATGATGTAAGGCTGATCGGCCTGTAATCCTTGCCCAAGATATGACCGTTTCTGCCTGGTTTAGGGATAAAGACTACTCTCGTCTTTCTCCAGGTTTGTGGTACATATCTCAGGGCTATACTAGCCCTGAGTACTTTTGTTAGTGGACCCGTCAGCACGTCCAGTCCCCCCCCCCTCAGGAGTGCCGGGTAAATGCCGTCCGGTCCCGGTACCTTATAAGGCTCAAAGGTTTCTATTGCCCATTTGACCCCGGTTGTACGATTCTGGCCGCGAGGGACCATTCTTTGGTCACACGAGGTTCTCTTGATTGATCCTCGACTCTGTTGCCCCAAATCGTGACATCCTCTCTGAATCCCGGAAAGTGAGTGGACATCAAGTGTTGTAACGTCCCTTGCAACCACTCAGACACAAGAAAAGTTATGCTCTCTTTTGTTTTAGGCCTGCCTGCATTCACCGACAATAGCCAGGGCTGGTAGAGAGCGGTGCACCGAGAGGGAGTTATTTATGTGTGTGTTTAAGTGTAATGAGAATGAAGTGACTTGAAAATAGCAACTTATTATGAAAAATAGTTAAATTGTAATTTGTAATAGAATAGAAATGTAGTGTAAAGAGTTTTTAATCGATGTATGTAAATGGAATAAGAAATAAAAAATAAAATACAAGAAAAATAAAGGATTCTAGGACTGTGTTCAAAATGCTAATATTATAAATTGGTATTCTTGAGGTCGTGAGTTTGCAATAGAAGAGAGTCTACTAAACAAAGGGAATCAAGGAAAAATATTAAAAGGATGTATCTTAGTCAATATTAGGTTGTGGTATGCAACTCTAAGAAGAATGGAAAGAGTTTAATATCTGAAACGTGTTTTATTCGTTGTCCGTAAGTACACTCACTAGCGCGTCAACTACGGCTTGCTCGCTACTAGTTAAATTTTTATGCAAATCTAAATTCGAATTCGGAACCTGTTGATCTCTCGACTTTAATTCAGTATATGTAGGTTCTTCTTTAATAACGGGTAAGGTCGGCGTGACAGACCCTGATGATAATGGTTTTAATGACGCGCGAACCTCAATATAATGACTATCTGAATTAATAATGAAATACCCTCTTTCAGTAGGGTTAGGAGAGTTAGGCACGACGGAGACGGGTGCTCTCTGTTCCGCGGTGCGCGATATCCACCTGCGTAGTCGCTCTCTATGCTTCCTGCCGCATCTCTTCGGCATCTAATATATTGAATAAAATATTCTACGCTGTACTGATTTGATCTTAACTGGAAACCTCAGTAAGAACGATCAAGATGGTAAGGTATGGATGTAAAGCAATAATATTGTCTCTGGTCTCTCAGGCTTAATATTAAGATCCTGGTTGCAATGGATCTGTTGAAGTCTCGATCAGAGCTCGACTGACTCACTAGCCAGGAGGTCCTCACGCACTACTTCACAATTCGCTGTAATTAATTAAGTTCCGGGGCTCGTGAGATGCTACCGAAACTGTCAGAGCCCAGTCTTAAAAAGCAAGAAGAATGTGACTAAGAGCGGTTAACGCTACCCAGTACATTAGCAGTATTATGGCGTCACGAGGTACACCGCAGCTCTGCAGGAATGTGTATAATGACTTACGACTGACACGAGTGCCAGTGAAGCGTCGAGACCAAAGAATGTGAGCAAGGGTTGCCAGAGTGTAAAGGATGTATTGGATAGAAATCGTTCTTAAAGAAAGCAGTAATATGGTAATCGTAATATATTTAAGAGCGAGTACAATAATGGCATTTAACTAATTAATGTAGTATACAAAATTGTAAAATGGACAAAAATACAAAATGAACGACAATGTAAAAATTAGAATAATAATTGTATTGAGAATAATAGTAGTTTTAACGATAGGTGGTCGCTCGGATCCTACCGGTCTAATGTTCGAGTACAAATGGGGGTAAATATTAGACTCACGGTCGCTTATTGTAGGGATCCGCGGGTCGTGGTTGAACTCTCCTGGACACGCTCGTACTGTCGCTGCAGTTCCGCACGCAGGTCGGTCGTAGAGAATCTCGGGATGAATGAAACTCGCTGGCTTCGATAAAGTGTAACTCCCGATAAAATGTTCACGCAGCGCGAACGTAGACTTGGTATAAAATGCTCGAATAACGCAGAATGTATGTCTTATGATGTCCCCGAACAAAAGCGGGAAGCGCTCCGGGAGCACGGCTTTTATAGGGCTCCAGCGGGGGCTTCGCTCGGTTCCGGCGGTTTTCGACGACGGTCGGGCCGCAGCGCCGAATTCCACAGTGGCACGGTGGTTTCGGGTCGGTCGGTTGCAAAGGGATGTCTCTACGCCTCGGCTTATCTCTCCGATAAGCTCGGAGGACCGGATGCCGTTCTCGGTGGCGTGATGCGTAGCGTCGCGATGATGTCACGTGTAACGTCCCAGCCTCGGAAAATTTCAATTTTTCGCGATTACTACGATATTTAAACTCCGCGATAACCAGAGGCCGATTTGTGCTGATTTGAGTCATAGAACGCCGTATGAACCAAATAGTACACTTAAACCCTTCGAAGCGCTATATGAAAAGTCACGATATCGGGAGACAAGGACGAAATATATTTTATGCAAATCGATTCGCAGTAAGAAATAATTAAGAATTCAAAAGGTACGTTAAAGATAATAATCCAAAGTCCACGATATCATGAGCTCTCATAGAATAAACTCTAATTAGTCATTATAAGTTTTATTTTAGTTAGAAACAAGGAATCTTACTAATTCACTCGTCAAAAAAACGACCAAGGATAAAAATCAGATTATTATAGAAATAAAGTATTCATATAACCACTCAAAAGGCCATACATGACGAAGGAATTGGTAGGAAATTCAAATAATATAAGAATACTCGCGAGCGAACTCGCGCAGACACGAATGAACACGTCCAGGATGACATCACCGTGATGCATCATCGCTACGCATCACGCCATAGCGCATAACGTCATCCGAACACCCGAGTGCATCAAACGATAAGCCGAAGCGCAGCGGCATCTCTTTGAAAAAACACCGACTCAAGACCACCAACTCGCCACCGGATGCGGCGCTGCGAGCCGACCGCCGTCGGAAGCGACCGAAACCGGCCGAAGCCCGCGCTTATAAAAACGGTGCACCCGGAGCATCCGCAGCATTTGTTCGGGAATTTTTCGAGACCTATACCAAGTTACGCTCACGTAGCTGCGTGAAGCATTTTTTCTTGCACTTTGTTCGGAACAACTCTTGAATACGCTATCACCGCATTTGCTCGTGGATTCTTCGAGATTCAGCCTACTCTCCGACCCGTTGCCTCAGGCATTTGTTCGGCGATTCAACTACTTATCTGCGACCCCTTGCGAACCTGTACGGACCAGCACAGGCATACTCTTATCCGATTCATCGTGTCCCTGCGAGATTTCGACCGTAAGTTTTATTTCTTATTCCCCTTACATTTATCCGACACTTGCCCGGTAGGTCTTTAGCGAAGTATCTATCGTCAAACTTTTGATTCAATACTTTAATATAATCGATATAACTTAAGGATATTGTGTAATCCACTATTAATTCTACACTGCAATATTATATATGTCACACTACAATATTACATCACACTTCAATTAAGAATATACATATATATTATATTCAAGTTCTTTAGTTACATGATTCAAGCTCCTCTCTACCAAATCCAGTTACTATAATTTTATAATCTCTAAGAACGATCTATTATTTTCCATTCCTTACCTACTCACGTACATACACGTATACACATTACTGCAGAGCTGCGGTAGTCCTAGTGTCTACCATATATGCCGTCGTAATAGCGTTTCTTTCTCTCTCTATTTCTGCTTCAGGTGTAACGTCCAGGCCTCCAAAAACTTTAAAACTTTCGCGCAACCGCCAATATTGAAAGGCCATAATAGCCATCGGCCGATTTGTACTAACTGAGATGTAGCATAAGTAATATTTTAAGTGAAACTTTATGTTAACTGTAACGTCCAGGCCTCCAAAAACTTTAAAACTTTCACGTCACTATAATATTAAAAGGCCATAGTAGCCATCGGCCGATTTGTACTAACTGAGATGTAGCATAAGTAATATTTTAAGCGAAACTTTTTGTTAACAGCGATTTTATTAATTCAGTTGTTAAAAAGGGCCGAGACTATAGAATAAAATATTGGCAATGCAAGCAAAGGCATCTTAGTACTATGAAATATTATTAATAAGAAATTATGAAGGCCATACGTAACAACGGAATTGTTAATATAATTAAGATAGCATAGAATAAACGCGTAGCGAACTCGCATGGACGCGATCGAACGCTTCTGGCATGACATCATCGTATCACCATGCATCACGCCACAATACATCACGTCATCCAGCCACCCGCATGCAGTACCAGGAAGCTGAAGAGCAGTGGAATCCCTTCAATGAAGGCCGACTCGGGACCACCATGCCATCCTGAAATTCGGCGCTGCAGCCCGACCGCCGTCGGAAGCCGCCGGAGCCCTATATAAGCCGCGCTACCGGAGCGCGCGAGCAGTGCTTCAACATTTTTTCCTGACAGTAACACATATAATTTTGCGCAGTCAGTCTCTCAACATTTCTCACACAGTGCGACACACAATTTTCGTTCCGAAGTTCCGCAACATTTTTCCACACAGTCACACTTAATTTTACCGCAGAGTACTACACATAATTTTACACGAGTA